AAGAGGATCCGGTCTATGGAGGGGGCGGGGGAGGCGTGGGGAGGCGTGGTGGGCGTGAGGGGTGCGGGGGGGGAGGGAGAACGAGCGCGCTTGCCGGGGGAGGTGGTGGTTGCGGTTCTGGGGGTTTTTCTGGGAGTTTGCGGCGGAGGTATGGATGCCGATGGTTGTGGTGGTGGTGGTAGTAGTGGAAGTGGCCGTTGCGATCCCAGACCCATGGATGTTGAAGGCTTAATCGCCGCCACCCGCGCCTCCATCTGTTCCACCTGCTCTATCTCCCTCATCGCCTCCTCGTCGCTAAGCGGGAAATCGTAAAACTTCTCTGGTCCCCCTTCATCGGCGTTGTCGTCCCAGCCTCGTAATGACTGCGTCGAGGTACGCGGTGCGTTTGTTGCGGCCGCAGAAGCAGCTGGATATCTAGGCGGCTTCGACGGTGTGTTGAAGGGCACAGAAGGGCTTCTGCTGGATGGTCGGGTGTTGGAGGTGGGAGTATTATAGGGGTTGTTGCGTGGCGAAGCTGTTGGTTTGGTTAAAGGGCGGGGCTCGGATCGAGAGTTGTTCTCTTCGCGGGCTTTGGCCTCATCTTCCCAGAGGAAGAACTTGCATTGCTTAAACTGGGGTTTTTGGCATTTATAGACTTTCGGAACCCCCGCCCAGATATTAGCAGGGAATTCGGAGCTAAGGTATCGTGGGTTTGCGAACTCACACCATCGTCCCTTATTTGCGCCCTCCTTGCGCGTTTGGAGGCGTTCAGCGGGGAGACGGAGACTGCAGTTGCCTGGGAGGAGGGGCAGGAATGTTAACTATATATCATAGACTTGGGTTGATGATTGAGACGTATATAAACAAACATACACATCCAAACACCATCCTTGAATAAGCCATTCAAAGGGGCCCTAGATGGGCTTTGTTTGGCGGTATCATCGCCGTATCCACCAAGGCCCCTTCCTCTCCTGCCCCTGCCGCTCTGATCGGTGTTTCCGAACATAGTTATCATACAATGTCCTGTGTTTTTTGCGACGACGGGGGTGGGGTTGATATCGTCATCGGGCGCATCGCGGTAAAAGCGTAAGGTTCGCTGCAAGCCGCTTCAATTCCCGAGTAACGGGGGGACCATTGAAGACCTCTGCCCTATGGTATCTTTGCAGTGCGGGTTTCCGTCGGAAGAGAGCCTGGAGTTGCATTACATTGGAACAAATTGAGCAGCTGGTCGCCCTAATTAAGTTAAGTGCTAGGGTGCCTTGTTGGGTACATGAATTCGCTTAGCCATCCCTATTTTCAACCCTTGATGGTCTAGTTGGTAGGGCATTCGGCTGTAATTGAACAAGTTTACCGAAGTATCCCCGGTTCGAGTCCGGGTCAAGGGACTTTTTTTTACTTTTTATTATCCCTTTCAACGTTTCTTCTCAGCTCCCCCAAATTTCTGCATACTATTTGTTCTTTTTTAAGGTGCCAACATAATCCGCACACACCGATTACTATTGTTGTTTATGTAGGATCGAAATAGGATGAGAGCCCGCTTCTATTATGTATTTGTCTCATTTTCGTTGATTCTAGTCACAATGCTTGCAATTCATTCGCCACTCGATACCAACTGATGCAGCCGAAGTGAACTCCTGAGACTCTAAGAAGCCGGCAACCCTTTCGAGGGCAGACAGTTATTTTTCATAAAGGGTGAAGAGCTAACACAAAAACGAGCCTTGAGAATACGCAGTGGAGACAAATGGATACATCTATCAGTGCAATCGAACATCATGATTCCCTTTGAGAACTGGTTCCCCATCCTCTACGCCTGCAACCGGCCATTAATCCACCTATTCAATTGGAAAGGAAAAAAAGCCCCGGATCGAATCGGTGCTTAGGAGTGGTACCATCAGAAACATCGGCGATCAATGCCTTCCCGATATCATTCCGCCAAAACATTCCTCAACATCGCGAGGAAGCTAGCTTGCAGCTTATGTAATTCCTCCACCTCTGGCTTCTGTGGTTCGCCCGCTGTGCGGCGCAGATGGTCTTGCTTCCTCGCCCGCCGTTTGCGCTCGGCGGAGATGGGATCGAGGTCGTCATCTTCCTCCTCTTCATCGCTGGAGTTTATACCGTCTTCGATTTCTAGATCTTGGAGGTCAATCTGCGGGACGTAGGTCAGCAAGATTGACGTCTGAGAGAAGAGAATGATGATGCAAATGTGAAAGTGGAATCTACATACTTCGTTTAAGCCAAAGTCACTTCCTCTGAAATAATTTTGGCCAGGCGCTATCTCCAAGCTGTGGCTCTCTGCAGCCATTTTTTGCCTCGTCTTGCCCTGGTGCCATTTCTTCCGCTCTTCTTGCCACTTCACAAGTGTATTTATCTCCCTAATAGATTTCTCCTTGTCAACCTGGCCCATGTCCACAGCGCCCTGGAATAGAGCATTCATGTCCAGTTTCCCGCCGTGTGGTCCCATACGCAGGAACGTTAAGATGCCCTCTAGCCAGCCCATCAAATTATCAAAGAGACCATTGTCGTGGATGTGTACCTCATGTATAAACTTATAGAGGTTGTGTTCATGGCGAGCGCAGAGGTCAATGAATAATTGCACGGTCTGGTTAGGGTCCGTTGACAGATCTTGATTCTGCGCCTTTGTTACGACTTGGATGAGGTCATCGAAGAAGTCGGCGAAGTCGGTGACGCTATTATAGACGTTTGCAGATTTGTAGACCCGGACTAAGGGCTCGTAGAAGATCGTAAAAAGATCCCGGAAGAGTTGGAGGGTGACGGGCTAGGCGATAAGACCGGTTAATACAGGAAAGAAAGAAGGTATGTGTATGTATCGCTTACCTCCTCAATGATGCTTAACATCATAGCCTTATCTCTTTGTCTTGTATAGAGTTTCAGGAGCTGCTTTAGATATGCAAAAAGCTGAGCTCCAGCCTTCATCTCTGCATCCACCTGATTACCGTCATGATTAGTAAACGGAGACTGGAAGTTGATTCGGAACAACTAACATTCTCGACCGCATTATTCCACGCAGCATAGGCGTTGTACGCTCTTTCCATCTGTTGCGGACTCAATTCTGGCGACAGTAAATCCGACTGCAATATGGCCACTATGATATCGATATAGTCCTCGGCGGCTATATCCCTAATAAGATTCCTTGTATCCTCCTCCGCATCGCAGAATTGCTTTAATTTCTCACAGAACACAGGATCATTGATTTTGACTATTAGAGAATCGATGGGCTTCTGGAAAGTCCTGATTCCATCATGGAGGGTCATGGCAAAGATCCTCTGCATGAGTGATTTCGACCCAAACGGTTGGGCAAGAAAAAGATCGAGAACACCTGACATGACAGCTGCTGGGTTCGCAATACGGATAACGTTTTTCAAGAGTGAGTAAGGGATGAGGGAGTGTATCCTCTTGGCTTGGGCGAATATCTCTGGGGAGTTGTCCTCCGCGAGAAAGAGATGGTAAACAGTCGCCGCAATTCTAAACATAGAGTTAGCGCATTTGCTTCCCAAACCCAGGGACTTGATTGCCACATACTCTATCTTTAACCATTCTGCAAATTTCTGGTACTGCACACTCAAATCTTCTAGCTTCTCTTTCTCTCGGATTTCCTGGAATAATTTCGTGAGGCCATCTGTTGTATCGAGGATCAGTGCCTCTTTCTGATCATGTAATCTCTAACCACAACTCACTGCTTTCCACAATGTCCCTCCTGAATCTTTCCATGTAAATATCTAGTTCCTTGGCCCTCTGCCTTGCAATTTCGTAGAACTTTCTCTGTTCCTCTATTCTTAGTTCGTCCATCTCTTTCCGTCGCTTGAGGTCTCCCTTTTCCTCTTCATTAAGTCTTATGGGATTAGAAGTCAAAAACGAGTTCATTGCCTTTGTCTTGGCGACCTGGGGGTTTTGTAGAAGTGTTCGGATAAACGCCCTCAAGCCCACCCGCTGAGATTCCCGCCACAGAACGACTGGTTTTTTCAGGTCCTCTGTAGAACCCACTGGTGACGGGTTTCGGGAACGGGAGTGCCGATGATCGACAAGTGCACGTAGAGAGCTGGAGCTTGATTCATCATGAATAGACATTGTGTCTTGAGTGGATACTGATGATAGTGAAGAATCGTCGCGGGCTACACTTAACGGGCCACTGTGAGAAGTCGAACTCTTGTTCTTTTTCGGCACGGAGGGGAAAATTTTGCCAGGCAATTCGGTTCGGAGATTCCGTTGTAGCCTGACGAAATCCCCGTAACGACGGCCAACCACTATCTCCTTTCCATCCGGGCCCTTGACTGTCAATATGAATTGCTGGTGAACTATCAGCAACATATCCGGGATATAGCGTCGTCAGCACGAAATACAGATAATAGAGCTACCCACAGCATGTGTTTGATATCTCACTGTTCTCTTTTCAGATGCCATCCTAACACCAGCAACATTAACATTCCACCCATTGATATCATGACCATCTGGCATATTGACGAGGAGTCCCTGATCCTGGGCACCTCTATCGATGGGATCTATCTCGGAAAACCTAATGCGTTCCTCATATCCAGACGCTGTCGGAATACCGGAAACCATCATCAGCTCAACAAGTTTTTTGGATTTTAGAGCTAGCTTTCGCCGTTTGGTCTCCTCTAGCCGGTCTTCCGAAGAGGAGATGTGCTTGTTGGCAAAGGATTCAAGAAACTACAACCAAAGAGAGGTTCATTAGTAGGGGTTCGCGCAGGGATCGGACTATATGACCGCTTACGACTTGTAGCTTATCCTGCCAGAACTCCTTCTCCTTCGCATGATCCAAAAATGGAAAGTTGCGCACATGGTGTACAAAGATATATCTCAGGATTGGCAAGTCTGAATCGAGAGGCGAAACTTCTCCGAATTCTGATCTGAATGGCGCCCCGAATCTTTGAAGAGCCGTAGGTGACGAGAGCTCCGAAATCTCAAATTCCACCTGTTGGGAGGTGAGCTCGCGTTTGAGGTCTGACGGAAACTTCAACTTAGCATTTGCAGTCCTGACAAAGGGTGTTTGCCTCACAATGTTCTTGCTTCCCGGTCAGGATCTGGCCGGGTGGTGGCACTTCTGAATTCTTTTTTGCCGCCATGTTATTTTGCGCCGGCTTCACCGCCTGAGCCGCCCCATCCATCGAATTAGTCTCGCCGTTGACAGTTTGCTTCTCGGAAGAGACGCCATCAAGGACAGATAAGTCAACCATCTTGAGTCTCAATCTCTGATGAAAGCGACGGCGCAGCGGTTAGTAAGCTGTATTCCTGCTGCTCTAAAAAAGACGCGAAAATAACCTGAGGATAGTGGGGGGCCAGTATGGTTTATAACCGGGGTCAAGAAACCACACGGTTCATGTGAATTCAATGAGCGTTCAGGTCCAGTATGACGGCATTAACTTCCAGTTCAATCCCCACCAAGATTAAAATAGAACGCGTTATAAACACCTGCATGGGACCCCTAAGTCACTTTGTGTTTAGTACAAGTATCTTGAGACGCGCGTAACCAAGCCACAGTGAACACGCCCCTTTCTACGTACTTGTCCCTATGCCGACAATATACCTTCCGAATTGGTTGAAAGCAGCAGAAACAAACAGCAAACCAATCATGTTCATGGGGCACCTTCCACGATCTAACCAAACCTGTTCAAGCCGTAAATGTTTTAATTCTAATAATCGGTATACTGTACGCTGTGATAGAAATGCCGGTTTCACCACTCTGCAAGGGGCCACTCAACGCCCTCATATAGAATACATTCTCCAAATGTGGAGCGCTTGCACAAATCCACAGAACCAAAAAAGCCCTCCTGTTTATTCTCATCACTTATTCGTGCTCTCTCTCCATTGGATCTACCAGATTCTATTGCGTCTCCTCCTTGTGGTCCTGGTCCCAACCCCGACTCCTACTTCACCATGTTCCATCCCTGTTTGAATTGTAAGTTAATGCTTGTTTCTCTGGGTCATGGAACTACTCACTGTCGCCCGAAATTTCCTTGCTTCTATTCCCTGTCAATTTTCCCGCCAACTTCCTAGCTGCGCCGTGGATTCTCGTCCCAAGTGTCGGCCGACGCTTGTGGCCCACACCAACGACCGGCGCCCCCGCGCGACGACGACCAAAGCGACGGCTTGATCTCCCTGTGGTAGCGATACCTACTCCAGTGCGAGCAGGGCGCCTGGAACGAGTCAGGCGGGAGAGGAGAGATGGCTTGCGTGTTGTAGCCACGCCACCAGTAGTTGTTGCGGGGTAGTGACGAGTTCGTCGTCCCAGTGCCATTGTTATTAGTATTGTATAGTAGTAGGGATTTGACAGGTCTTTATAATTCAGCAGTAGGGTCGCCTATTAGTAGCGAACCGTATGAGAGCCTCCATGAAGACATGGTCTGTT